AACGTAGGTATGGATTCGGACGCAACTAAGAAAAATGGAATAAAAAAACTCAAGTCCATTTCCTTTTAATGTGATATATTGAAGAAAATAAAGCTACCTCATAGTGACAATGAAGCGGATTTGAATAAATCTGCACTGACTGCGTTACGCGCAGCCCGTGTAGCTATTAAACGTGTCAGTGGGCGACGAAAAATAAATATTCCTAGAATTATACCGATACCAAAGACAGGTGGCATTTTACCAATTCTACCTATACTGGGAGCATTAGGGGCATTGGGTTCACTTACAGGTGGAGCTGCTGCGGTTGCAAAAACTGCTATCGACGTTAGGAACGCCAAAAAACAATTGGCAGAAGCAGAGCGACATAACAGAACAATCGAAGCTATTGCACTAGGTAAACGAGGATCTGGCTTGTATCTACATAAAAATAAGCATGGTGGTATGGGTCTATTCCTGGAAAAACAATCCTCTGGAAGTGGTTTATACGTCAAAAAACAGAAATCAAGAAACTACCAGTAAAGCTACCCAATAGAGCGCTTTCCGATCATGATATTTTGAGATACGTGAAACTGCTCAACATAAAGCATTTTAAAAATGTATATATGAGGGATACCCTACCGAGCACGAAACCAAAAAATAACGAGTGTGCAATTATCAATCTAGATCTTAGTGCTAATGCTGGTACTCATTGGGTAGCATACAGGAAGATAGGTAAAGTAATTAATTATTTTCATAGTTTTGGAAATTTAAAACCTCCTCTTGAGCTAATTCGATACCTTGGTACTGGCGTGAAAATACTTTATAATCATCAACCTTACCAAACATTTGATCACTTCAATTGCGGACATTTGTGTTTAGAATTTTTATATAAAACTCAATGATTCAACAACCTTAGTATCATTATGTCACAGTTAATCACCCTGAGAAGTCGCTCTTCAGTACTAACCATTGATTTTATCAATCCAATTGAACTCGAACCTCATTCACTTTACGGAATTGCTTTGATTGGCTTTCATTCATACAACACAATCCCAAACATAGAAGAAGGTGCCAATAAATTTTATTTCCATAACAAGAAAGACAACAAAGTGAAAACAACAATTCCAACAGGTGTATACGAAATAGGTGATATCGAATAGTATCTCAATACTCATACAGAAACACTGGAAAAAATACCACCGTTTCCACTCAAACCGAACAATAATACTCTCAAGTGCGAATTGTTTAGTAATCAATACGTTATAGATTTCAAGCACGAAGATAGTATTGGAAAAATCCTTGGATTTTCAAAAAAAGTACTAGATACCGGTATTCTTCATTCGTCCGATCTACCAGTGAAAATAGTTAAAGTGATTACTGTACACTTTGACTGTAATATTCCAACAGGTTCATTCTATAACAGCAAACCGTCACACGCAATTTTTGAATTTTCCATTGACGTAGATGCTGGTTATGCTATAGACATTCAACCCCGTAACTTGATATATTTACCTGTATCCGAAACACATACTATCAATAACATTAGTTTACGTATATTAGACCAAAACGGAGAGCTTGTTAACTTTAGAGGGGAAGAGATAATTGTTAGACTGGAACTTAAAAAATTAACTTAAAATGGGATTATCTATTACCTCCAATAGTAACAGATATAAAAAGAACAAGTTTGCAACTTATGATTCAGTCTTTCGTAATCATCTTATGAAGACAAGTCATCCTTCAACTAAAGCACTAACACCTACAAACGTTTTGTTTTTAAAATCTTTGGGATACAATGTTGCCAGTCCATCATATATTCGAAAATCCATCGTTCGATAACTCTGTAATAAAAGAGGAATGCCGTACATATTATCCATTTGTAAAATCTTTTGATAATAATGATGAAATTGGCATTAATATTAATCAAAAAGATGCCTGGTTAGCGATGTATGAAGCTGCTATCTGTATAGATGGTAAGGTGTTACTAAAAAGGTAATTCTACTACCGCTTCAGCTAAAGTAGAATTAGTCAATAACGCTGGTGCTTTTATGTTCGATTCAATTTCATATGAATTGAATGGAAAAGAACTAGATCGTGTACGTGATCATGGTATTGTGAGCATGATAAGAGGTTATTTATGTTACAATCCTAACGATAGTAACCATATGGCTATAGCTGGATGGAATTTTCCATCCAATGCAATTTTGAATGCGGATATGACGTTTTCATTTCGCATACCCTTATGGCATCTTCTCGGTTTTTTTCTTGATTATAGAAAACCAATGTTTGGAAGGCATACTATACCTTTGGTTCGTTCCAGACACGATCATAATTGTCTAAAGGTCATTGGTGACACAACGGCTACCATTCAGATAAGTTCTATTGAACTTAAAGTTAAACACATATTTCTAAATGATGCGCTAAAATTGGATGTACTTAAAAAGATAAAGAATGATACTTCTATACTTATGGGTTATAGAAAGTGGTCAATACATGAATTACCGTCCTTACCTCATAATGCCACGAAAACTATATGGTCAGTAAAGACAAGTTCAGCTATAGAAGTTCCAAGATTTGTTATTGTTGCCTTTCAAACAGCTAGAAAAGATGTAGCAAAAGCGGATAAGCACATATTAGATAACGCAAATCTTACAAACATAAAGTTAATGATTAATTCGGACTATTATCCTCATGAAGATATGAAGTTAGATTTTAAAAATAATAAATATATGGAAGCTCATCATATGTATTCGCAATTTGCCAAAACGTATTCAAATGATAACGATAAACACGGATTACTTGACTATTCTACATTCAAAACTCATGTTTTATTTGTTATTGATTGTTCCAAGCGAAGCAAAGATTTAAAGTCGTCCACCGTTGATGTAAAACTAGAATTTGAATCTGCTGAAGGTTTTTCCGCTGATACTAGAACTTACTGTATTATTATTCATGATTCTGTGATAGAGTATTTACCGCGAAGCGAAATTGTTCGGAAACTAATTTAAATGTAACGCACTAGCAGTCGAAGCTCTCAGTAAGTCGTGGTGCGTAGTACTAGAATCATCTTAATCGGTTACGCAATGAAAATAGCAGCAGTAGATGTTCAAGGTTTTCAACTTTCAAACGGGTTTTTAGCTAAAGAATTAGCGATTTCAATTAGTAACCAGATAACTCACTATATTTTTAAACCATTGTCACCGTTTTGTTTTTTAAGTACAAACGATAAAGTGCAAGTGCGATGGCTGGAAAAAAATTATCATGGCTTGAAATATTCCTCTGGATTCTTGGAACAGCACCAATTGAAGGATATCATCAAGTCGCATTTATCAGACGTTGATTTTGTATACGTCAAAGGACATCAAAAACTAGTTTTGTTATCTTCCCTTCGCGATGAGGAATTCCAACCAGAAATCATAAACTTAGAAGATGTACTCCAGACCAGTCTAGATGTGTTGAACTTCAATAAAAATAAACCACGATGTCTACATCACAGTTTGAGACTATGTATGTGTGCTTTAAGGAACTGTGCTGAGCTTCAAGAGTGGCTTCTTGCGTTAATGAGAAAATAGTTGTCAGTCATCCTTGCAACAAGGTGGATCACACTACAGCAGCCGCTTCAATAGATGCCTATCTGAGAAAATTACATAACCTCAAAAAGTGTATTGAGGAATATGAACAAAAACAAAAATGATTGTTAGCTTTAGAAATATTCATATTTGTGACAATGTACCAAATTAAGGTTCCAAATTGTGTGAATATTGATAATATTTTCAAAATAAAATTCTTGCTGTAAGTATATTGTTTTATTTAATCGTTAATGTTATCGAACTTACAAAATGAACTAATAAATATGAAGCTAAAAGTAAAATCACATGGTGCATTATATCAAATTTCTTTTCCGTCTTCTTTCCCATTCTATTCGATAGCTTCTGCATTCGTTTAGCATCGTCACAATTTTTTGAGAATTTTAGATGATCCTTAATAGGACAATCGCCATCCTTCCATTTGTACATTATTATCCCACAACAAAACGCTTGGCAAATATCTTCACTTCCAACATAAAAAAAACCTGCTGCTGCTAGCACTTCAGGATCACTGGTTCCAGCCCATCCTTTTTCAAATGTACTGATACGTTTATCATACGAATTGTATTCACTAAAATCTATAGAATATTCCTCAGCACACATATTCATATAGCGCAGTGGTACGATCAGTATTATTCTATATTGCATAGGCGTGTATTATTATTATTTATATATGACACATATATCATAAAATACTCATACTTCTCGAAAGTCACATGACATACGCCAACAAATTCCTAGTAGTTCACTTTCCTTAGATAGTTATGTTCAGTCGTAGCCAAGCTGTGTTCGCAACAACTAGTTACCATGGAAGAAAATTCTGATCAAAATCTGGAATTGACACATAATTATGCACATTCAGTAAGTTTTATTATCATGGTTACATAAAAATATATGTATACATTAGCTAATTCGTTCATTTTTTTTTCTTTTAGGCTGATAGTTTTGATATGGATGAATTCTTAATCGGAAATGATATTTTTAATAATTCAACCACCATTGATGTATCGTCAACAGCTCCTGCAAATCGTAATGCTGGAAAGGATATGCAACAGTTGGTAAACAATTATATTGAAGAGCAAAGCAGTCCTACAGATGATATGGTTATTGTGACTCATAGAAAACATGTGAACAACGATGAACTGCGCATAATTGGAGGTTATCTACGAAAAGTCAACAGACTATGCGAAAAGAAATTCAGTGAAATTTCAAGAAAATTAAACAAGGAACGTAAAAGACTTCAAACACTGAAACAAAAAGAACGTACTCAGTTACAAAAAATTAAGAGACTGGAGAAATGTGAGAAATTTGCATCCAAAATGACTAAACGTCTAAAAATATCCTTAAATGACTAAGTACTATATATATCTACATACAATGTAATCTTTTCAATCATCAGTCAACCACTGAACAGTGAACATTTACCTAAATGCAATAATGACGTCACACACTAATAATCAACGGGTAATAAAAGTTCTCGACTTCACTGTACCAGTTCAAGAAGATGGAACATTTTACATATACGAAATCTATCAACCCGACAAGGTAGTGCTACAAGAATACCCAGCGTTCTATTACGATGGAACGCCAGGTGGCTTGCCATTTGGTACAGAGATTAAAAACTAGGAGAACCGAACTATAGGGTATGTGATCGGAGATCACTTAAATTATTATCCTATAACGACGATGAAAGACAACTTATTACATTGCGGTAGATATGGACTGCACAAGCTAGTCGGTCATGAAGGAAAAATGGAGTATCGAGATCAAGAGTATACAGTGGAAGAATTTAAGAAAAAGTTTCCCAGAATAGCAAAACAAGATGTACAATGTTTTGTTTATGGATAACGTACCTCAAAATAAAGATAGATAAATTTCTTAAAACGTATCGTTTATTCTCTTACCACTATCCCAAGGTACACACACACACACACACACACACACACAACAAACAAACTTACTCGCGCGCGCGCGTTTTTACAAGACCTACCCCCCAACCCTCACCACAAACGCTATCTACACCCCCCGTAGTACGCCCGCGCCAGCAGAACGGGCCCCATGCGCATGCGCACGCGCGCGCGCTACTAAGGGGGATGGTGACAAAAAGGCGTTGAAAAACGACTTTTTTTTTGTACTTTGGTCTAGAGTGACTGGTCTAGAATGACTTTTGGTCTATTATATGTATTAAAATTAGTAGGCTTATCGAATACGAAAACTTCAGGGATCGTGAAATAAATATTTTATTGTAAACATGTTGCCACTAGGATTAAATGTTGCTAAATAATTCGAGGCAGAATTTGCCTCCTCTGTTGAGTATATTATTGGAGTAAACCCAGTGCCGCTTGGGAAGGACGACACACTACTATCATACATACTTGCAGAATTCTGGGTAGACGCTGAAGACATTTCTTCAATATGTTCAAATTCTTCGTGCGCTATTAATTCGGCTATTTTTAGTTTTATTCGGGCTTGACGCTTTAAGGGGAGTGTTTTCACAGTCTGTGCATGTGCCAAGAAAAGTGAATCAATGGCCTCGTTCTCTTTTTTAGGTTTTTTACCTTCAAAATAATTAATGAGCTGTTGTACAGACGAAGATGGTGGTTCATAGCGTTTTCTGCTCGTTTTATATTTTGGTGTAGTTGCAGTCTGCGGAAAGGTGCGCCTTGGAGTTGTCACTGCTGTAGTGTTCAATGAAGAAGGTGGTGCTGTCTGTGTTGCCGAGGCGTTCTGTGCATCTTCTGCATCTACATCAGCATTTTCATCTTCTCCATGGCCGCGGTCTTCCAAATTTTCGGTTTCTACATTTCCAGCCCTTTCCTGATATATATTTGAGTTAAATTCGGCAGTCTCATAATGTATGACATCAATATCTTTCACATTAGACGACGTTTTGGCAAATGCCAAAAAAGGACGGCAAAATTCCATGTAGTCAGCCCACTGCCATTTTTTTATGTTGCCCACTGCTTGGCCGGTCTTTGGTTTGGTAGATTTATATATTTTGCAAATGTGTCTCTGATATTCTTCCACCTTTTTTTTACTTTATCACCTAAAAACGATTTTTTTATAGATTCCTTGCCACTTTTGACACCTTCTATACCATTGGGCATAGCTTTCGAGTTGGCTTTACAACAGTGAGTGCAATCGTAACCGAAGTCTGTGAAGCGATATGCAGACATATGGAGCATATATATTTACCAGAACCAACAGAGAATATATGGACAAAATGTGCTGAAGAATTTGAAAATAGATGGGGATTTCCAAATTGCATTGGCAGCGTGGACGGTAAACATGTAACAATCAAGAGACCTAACAATAGTGGCTCCAATTACTGGTGCTATTTACATAAATATTCAATAGTACTTATGGCCATTGTTGGCCCGGACTATAAATTTATATGTGTTGATATTGGTGGTTTCGGAAAAAAATAGTGATGGGGGTATTTTCGAAACCTCAAACATGGGAAAACGATTTGAACAAAATTTAATGAGTGTCCCTGCACCTAGATTTCTCCCTGGGCAAAATGAAATCTGCTCGTATGTCTTAATTGGTGATGAAGCATTTGCTTTAAAACCATACCTTATGAGACCATTTCCTTATAAGCAGACTTTAACAGACGTCAGAAAAGAGAAATACAATGTAAGACTTTGTCGAGCTAGAAGGGTCGTGGAAAATGCGTTTGGTATTTTGTCTCAAGAATGGCGAATATTTTACAGACCATTAGAAACTAAAGTAGATACTACTAATCTAATTGTACGTACGGCATGTGTTTTACACAATTTTTTACGAAGTAAAAGTGGCGATGACAAATATTTTCAATTCTTAGATCCCCCAGAACCCGTGCTTGGAGCTTTTACTGATATAGCAAATGATAGCATTTTAATTCTGATATGCCTATGCCCAATATACAGGGCGTCCGCAAAGTTGGGGTTTTTCTTTACACGACGTGTAGATCTTGAAAACATAAGCAATTTTTCTTAGTACCATATACACCAATGCCTTAAGGGAACCGAGATAAAGGGCTCTGCAACATCAAAAATATCTGAATACCGTCCTGTAGCCGCGACCCGCGATATCTCAAACTGGTACCGGCTACTAGCTGAACCCGACGACAGAACTGGGTCGGGGGTCGGGGTCAGTGTGTCAGGTCAGTCTGCAACCTTCAACCGACGGTAAAGGGTCACGCGTATAGAGGTAACGAACCCGTATAATCGATTGCGTTTCAAAAAAAAAATAATAATGGCACACTCATACACCAATAAGGAACTCGTTGATATGTTGTTAATTTATGGCGAATGTCTTCAAAAGGATACAGAATCGTCGCGAGTGTATGCAGATCGTTTCCCTAGACGACATCATCCAAGGCCCCGCAGATTTGTGTATCAGAGAGTCAGGGATACGGGCCATTTGGAGGAATTGCGAGGTGGGCACAGTGGGAGTCCTAGACAACCACGAATGGTGCAAGTTGAGGAAGAACTACTGAATCGCGTAGACGAGAATCCCTCAACAAGCACTAGAGACGTGGCTAGAGAAGTGCAAGTATCAAAAACTAAAGTGTGGCAAACGTCCAACGTGTACAAGCCCTTCAACCTGACGATTTTCCACCAAGAGTGCGGTTTTGTGAGTGGTTGTTGCATCAACATGACAATAATCCGAACTTTTTGAAGCGCATATTGGTGACAGACGAATCTACGTTCACGCGTAATGGGGTGAATAACTTTCGATTTCAGGCAGAGACGTACTTAGCCCTTCTCGTCAACTGGAGAGTGAGTACTTTTTCCTTTATTTTTTTTACTTGGTCGCCGTCGTTTCACTACACATTACCTTTGTTATTTCAAGGGTAGTTGTTTCTGAAAAGGAAAACCCCAACTTTGCGGACACCCTGTATAGAATGTTCGTTTTCACATTTGTGTAGACTGTAAATTATTTAACAAGTTAATAAAAAATATTAGGTACATACCATTTGTATTTAATTCTTTTCCTATTTCCATCCAAATCTTGTCTTTCTTTCTCACATTCCTGTATTCATCGTTCGACAAATCATACAAACAAGGATACTTTTTCACTATTTCTATCAATAATTCCATTTTTGCCATTGCGAATTTTTGAAGAACGGTGTCAAAAACGCGGTCAAAGGCGAACTGCACAAGTCTGAGCCTGTCCGTAAACCGCCGCGTTTTAATCTGATCGCGAATTCATCGCCGCGAAATTTTCGCAGCCAAAGCGAATATTTCGTGCCGGTTTGTGGGATGCTTTAACTGGTCCTAGCAGAATGGGAAGAAGAGGACTGTTGATTTGATTTATCTGAAGTAACAATCCTGTAACAATGAGGATGGTTTTAGTTGTCTTTTCTTTTTTATTTTATTTTTATGGAATGTTCCAGCAGATGTATCAATTGTTGGACCTTTATCTTTTCTTATTGAAACGCGTTTAAACATTGGTTTAACTTTAGGACATCGGGGAGTTCTCGTATTAAGATACTCTGTTGAAGATGTTGGTTGAGGATCATCTAGTTTCTTATTCACTTTAGAAAGCACTTGTTCCTTTCGAGATTCAACACGATTTTGTACAATTTGATATAATTGTTTCGCAATGTTTTTAGTTGAATCGATATAATCTTGGGTTATCCTTGTTTCATGTAATGTTCTTGTCAAGTTGAGCAAATATGATATTAAAAGGGGTTAGTTTTGTTACTGAATGTATTGAATTATTGTAACATGAGACAACTAATCTCATCAAGTAACTTAATGGTTTATTTGGGTGATCAATTTTTAAGATTCTAAGAGAATCAAGAAGAGTAGAATGGAAACGTTCTACTGGACTATTACTGTTAGAATTTCTAATAGAAGTAATGTGGAGTTTTATACCATATAATTGGCAATACTCTTTTAGGAGGATATTATTGAATTCTTTTCCAGCATCAGCAATTATCTGAGAAGGCGTTCCTAGATAGGAAGTGAATTGAATTAGAGCTTGAACAACATCGATAGCATTCTTAGATGGAATCTTCAGTGCTTGACCATATTTAGAAAATGGGTCAAAAATAGTAAAGTATATTTCTGACTGAATGTGCAATAAGTCAATATGTAGGACATCTAAAGGTTTATTTGGTGTAGGAGTATGTTGTAATTTGATGTGTTGTGGATTACGGTCGTATTTTGCACGTTGGCAAACATCGCAAAGGTTAATATAACGGTTAATGTCATTAGACATATTAGGCCAATAGAATTTTGATGAAACTTGTTTAATTGTTTCATTAATTCCACGATGAGTGGTTTTTGTTTCATGCCAGAATTTAATTTCAGTTAATTTCTCATGATCTGTGAATAAATCGGTAAGAAACAAGTTTGATATTATAACTTTAGTTTGACGGCTAAATTTATTTTTTAATACTCTAAGAGTCTTTTCTTTTATTGGATCACTGTGGAAATAGAGGCAATGGTTTTGTGTGGTATTAATATAATCTTTGAGATGGAGAAGAATTTCGTCGTCGGATATACTTGAATGGAATGTTAAAGTATGTCGGGTCTTTCCAAAAGGCTTCTCAAGAGAGGGTAAGAATCGTGCAGCAAGAGTATTTGATTCTATAATAATGATTTGGCGATCAAAGGCATTAAAAGGTTTTTCTG